CCAGAAAACGTCTGTACCTAGGGAGTGCCACCCATGCAATACAATACAATGGGTATTTAGAATATATTCTTTTAACAAAGTGGAAAAAAGTAGGAGTTCTTTTTGCTTGAAGAAAAACTTCCCATCCGGAGGTGTGCTGAGGAGGGCACCAGCACCACTTTCAAGGACCGCTAAAGGCGTTTCTAAGTTTATGTAACTTTGGTCATACTTCCGAGCTTTATATTTTACACGATCTCCTCTTGGATTAGTTGAAATACAAGCTTCTTTAATCGACGCTTTATTATACCTGCGTACGGTTAGTTACCTCCAGACAATTCGATGACATTCGCGATCCCGTATAGCCGAATCATTACCAACGCCCCAGAATTATAGTTTTAGGACAATTGGGAAGCTTCTCTTAGATCGACCAGAGGACTTCATCCACCTCTGGATTTTTCACTGATGGAGTAAACTTGTACCACGTATGACTGCATCATGTTACTTTTAATGTAAATGAAACGCAAAAAATTAAAGAAGTCATCAATAAGGATGCAGAAATCACCTTATATACCTACATCATCTGAAAGAATTAAGGACGTTATAGTCGGAACACTGTATTCTGTGTTATCATTTATTTATGCACGGGATAGAATTGACATAAACGACTTTCCCCGTATATATCTGTTTCTACAAGGAGTTTTCCGAAGACATGAAATGGGACCTGACGACAGGTCCTTTCTGTCAGAAGCAGAAGCGTCCACTTGACCTTAAGTAGGATGAATCAAACTTTTTTTTTTCTAAATAACCTAAAGGTTCAAAATGGTTCGTGTGCGAGCTACGAATCCCCCAGAGTTATTATAAAAAATAGACGGAATTATTATCCATTTGGTGCACAATTAGTGTCTAACCCAATTTCTTCCCCTGTCATTTGTTCCCCTGTCATCTCTTCGTCTCTTCTAAAAATATATGCGCACAAAATTACATGAGAATTACATAGGAGTGGTAAGATGCGAGTCGGTTCGAAAGCGATCAGCAAGCGTGTTTCGAAGCGTTTTGTTACCAAAATAACATGTGATGTTTCACAATGTCTGGGATTGAAAGTGTTACCTCCACTTTGATTGCTCCAATGATGTTGATTGTACTTACTGACTCGTTGGCTTGTTCTTTCTCCTTAGGTTATAGCTCGTTGTACGACTCTTATCTTCTTTTGCTTTGTCTATATAAATACCTGATATGTATTATGTCGTAACTAAATAATGTCATATTGGTATATACAACACTTAATTTGGGTAAATTCATTATGCGAAAATTTGAGAACGTTGTGCTCAAATAAAGCGCCAATTTTATTAAGTATCCCATCAAAATCGATACGTTACCTGAATGATACCTTCAAATGTGAGCAACACAGCGTCTGGTTTATTTATGATGCGAACGTTATAGGTTACAATTTAAACAATGTAAATAATTTATGTACGTTTCGTAACTGCCAAATTTATCTTAAATAAATACACAATTTGAACTAATATTCTAATGATAAATAAAGTCTTACGCACAACGATAAAATTAACTGTTGAGAGAAACTTTTACGCAATACAGTTTATTTAAAATACGCAGAATAGAAGGCGTACGTTATCTGAAACCAGTTGGTGTAACTGTGACGTCACAAGAAAATGCATATAAAGACCCTGGTTTCCAAGATAATTATGGAAAGGTAGAAACGACGACAAAAGCTGCTTTCCAATCTTATATGCCTTTCACAGAAATCTTCAATTTGAATGGTAATTGATCCATCAATATACGGCATTTTAATCACAAACCTCGAAATGTATATAGGTACGTATTAGAATGGCTAGCAACACAAATATCTCTTCTAAACTGGTCGATTGGAGTTGAAAATTGTTTCTCTTCGTTGATGTGTATGGAAAAGCACTCTTGAAACAATATTTAGCACTTTTTCCACTAAATATAACTAATTAGATGCCACATAACAATATGCGTTAAGCTCGCATTGCTTGCTCTCAATTAAAATTTTGTTGCTGATACCTTATTAAATAAATGTAAGTTTTATAGCCAAAAAACATTTCCCATTTTCCAGTCATTTCCAAAATCTCATCTTCACCTTCAGGACCATTTGAGAGTACACTGGTTCAGCCAAATCCGTCTGCTCCTTACAAAGTTATAGGTACGTAATTCAATAAATATCGATTTTATTGTCAAAAAAGCTTTTGCCATTTTCGAATCGCTTTCAAAAGGTTTTCAGCGCTTAAGACCATTTAATGGCTTCAAATTTCAACCAAATCGATCAAGTACTTTCGACTGAACTTGGTTTACAAAAATAATGCTACACGCTCATACATAGGTACATATAGATCGGGTGAAATCTGAAAATCGAAATTGGGAGTGATTTCAATAATCGGTGTTCTCAAATTGGGTAAGAGCGAATTTTGTCGCGCCTTTTGCTTTGATCCCTTTTTTGTTTTTTTGCTCTGCCGCGGCAATCTGAAATACCGTGAGAAGGGGACTCAATGGGGAGATCAAGCGCAATTGCGTGTCAATATTGCGATTAAATTGCGATTACGCAAATTCGATCACACAGTTTTAACAAGTCCGATCTTACTCGCATAAATTACGCACATTTTCCTAAGAGTCACCGGTGCATTTTTATTTAAATCGAATCCGAATCGAGATCCGAATAGAATTTAATATTTTGATTATCGGCGCCTGTAGGATAACTCATAACTATCACTTATCTTGGTCATTTTGAGTTGTATAAGAACTTTATTACCACACTCATTTTCTTGTTTCTATGGCTACTTCGATTGAAATTTAAAAAAATGCATCAATACAAATTTCTTTTTCGTTTTCAGCAGTAGAACAGTCGCAGATAAAAAGTTGTATTTAATACTTGGGCTAACGGCCATTAACATACTCATCTTATGCCCTTACGATAACTCGGGCTGACGCCCTCGTATGCGCAATTGTCGCATTCGTAAGTTAATGAGGCTGTTATCCCACTGATTAAATAAATTTTATTTGATTAAGCAAATACCTCAAATATATGCAAAAGGTAGGTCGTATAAATATATCCTGCTGTGTGGAGATACTAATGTAGTTTATAAATCTTATTCAACGTCAATACACCTGTTCTAAAGATTCTAAGGATTCTGACGATTCTAATGGTCCGATGGATTCTAAGGATCCTAAGGATTCCAAGGATCCCAAGGATTCCAAGGATTTTAAAGACTCTAAGGATTCTAAGAGTTCTAATGGATCCAAAGTTGCTACGTATTCTAAGGGTTCTAAGGATTTTAAGGAGCCTAAGTGTTCTAAGAACCCTATCTAAGAATTCTAAGGTAAGGATTTTAAGGCTTCTAAGAATTCTAAGGGTGCTAAGGATTCTTAGGGTTCCAAGCATTCTACGGATTTTAAGAGTTCTAAGAATGGCACGTACCTACTCAATTTTTGTTTATATTTTTGAGTTTTTTTTAATCGGCCAGATCGATGAGAGATCTGATTTCTATGTCAAGCAGTGCATCAAAATTAGTTTCGATACCATAATTAAGCATAAGGTGAGTTCAAAGAACTCCCATTCGATTGAGCCAGTCGTTGCAACCTATATATTGTTCAATTTCAAAAATGATCATTAAAAATTCTGTAACTAGCTGCTACAACTCCAAAGTATTTTAGCTTGTCCTAGATATGTTACCGTTTTCCAAGTTTATGCACAATTTTTCTGATAAACTCTCTTCCTCAGATAACATTACCTTAATGGTTGTCGTGTTTTTTCTTTTGATTTGCTAGCAGCAAAAATGTATCAATAGGAGATGTCGAATATATTTGATCGGAGTTATGAATTCGTCCCAGAGTACGATGCAAAAGCCAGTCGAATTCGAGATACTACTAAATAAATTTCAATTCCTGAAAAGGACCAACGAGCTTCAACAATGGTACAAAATTTCTAATTCGGTATGAACACTGTGAAACATGAAGAATGTTGAATCGGAGATATCCATGGTGTGAAGTAACTCAAAATGGGGTTGTATATAAAAAAACTTTTGTGTCTTTTTGGGATTTAACGGCACCATGAGGAATGTTAGTAGGTAAGTATTATAAACAAAACTCCGAAGAGCTCCTGCAACAAGTAAAACTTTTTTTTTTGGGACGGAACATTTATGAGTTGCAGTAATCAAATTATACACAATTCATGTGGACCTTACGGATAGAGAAAAAGACACGGTAACAGTTGTGAACCTTTGCTCTTTTGCAAGAGAAAAGGAGGGTTATCTATGAAAAATTCTTCAAACATTTAAAATACATTTATCCCCATGTGGGATCCTGTTTCGGTTCACCTGGACTTTGAGGTTTAAATACTTACCGTACAATCAGAATCTCCGACGACTACCTACAGTTAGCGGTTGTCACTTCCGTTATAATCAGGCGTTGTGATTCAAGCATTGGGGATTGTAGCAAAACTACACTAGTGCATGATGCAGAAATTTATCTGCATAACAGAATGTGTCTTATAAGCGTATATTCCCGTATCTTCTATCTTCCAGTACTGAGGTATGATTGTCCCTCGGATTGTCCAAAAGATCGTCGTCGCCGCAACACCCACAACGTCAAAATGTGTATGATTCTTTCTTGTACAAATCCCATCAGCCACCTATTTTTCGATTAATTCAAGTATTGAAGTAAGATGCGGAATATAGGTACTTACTGATGATTTCGTGTGCTAAAATGTTGAGTTCTAATGGAAGGAACGCCAAGTAGAGGAAGATAGGTAGGTATACAACATATTGGAAGAAAGGACTGATGATATATAGCGAAGTGTTTAGTATGTGTGTTACACTGTAATTATATACGGTCCTCGTCTCGTAAATAATATGTGTAGTACCCCCGTAGATGTACTATATGGTCACAAGTTTAAAGAATGTTGATAGTTGGCGTCGCTCTCACTCTGGGAACCTCAGTCTTCGTTTTTGTGCTGTATAGTTCACATTGTGTGTTTCCTTCTTCGTATTATGCCGAAACATTCGAAAAAAAGACACAGAAGTCGAAGCTCTACGCCGCAGACTGCCAGCAATTACGACGTTGGAAGAATATTAAGGCGCATCGAACGGCGTTTAGACAAGGTAGAAAAACAACAACGAAAAAGACATCGCTCCAGGTCGCCTTCTTACGATGCTTCTCCAAGGGAGGAGCACGAAATTAGATCGACAGTTTCGCCATCGCCAAGGTGTGATTCCATACCTGCCGCTTCTCGCTGTAATTCAGTGGAAGCAGAGCAATTTTTAGAGGACAGATCGGAACATAATACAAACCAAGGGAGTAAGTATACGTTCTCTTTGTGTAATTATTACACGAATTTCGAACAGAACAGCGCTTTGTTTTGCTCCTAAAATAGATTCTACTAGAAGTAGTTTCTATTAATTGGTCGCGTATCCGCTGACCTTGTGTCCAGCACAGGATGCTGTCACACGTAATGCCTAAGAGGCATTTTTTGCGTTAATATTTACAGCGGGTTGAGCTAACCGGGCTGTTTTAGCGCGTAATTTGACGCTGAAATGCTTAAAAAGCATTTGCGCGGGTTTTTCATTGAATATAAAATTCAATGTTTTTATTTACCTTGCAGGTCAATTTTGCACTTTCCTTTATTTATCTGTAATTAATTCGCTACTCGTTAGCAAGGTGATTGAATCAATCCCCTCCTTTACAGATTTGTTTGAGAATTTAGAACAGCAAGATGGGGCGTTACCGGTAATTACACCAGAGATTCTATCCATAATGGGAGACGATCGAATTGAGGAAAAAACATTGTCAAAACCCATTCAGCCTGTAATAGCGGAGAGATGGACAAATATTTTAACAAATGGGTTAACGGAGGAAGTGAAGAAAGCCCTCATTGATAAACATTTGCCACCTGAAAATCTTCAGGCTCTTTTGGCCCCGAAATTAAATCCTGAAATTAAGGCGGCTATTCCGGAAGGCGCCTTACGTCGAGATGCTCGATTACAACTGTGGCAAAAACAAATTGGGGCAGCAACATCTGCGGTGGCGTCCGGCTTATCGTCCATGTTGAAGGAAGGTGCGGACGTAAATAAGGGATTCATCGAGACACTAAGTGACGTGGGTCGCTTATTAAGTGATCTACATTTCTGCGAATCGTTTTCGCGGAGGGAACTTTTGTCCTTACAGTTAAATAAGGACCTTAAAGACACCCTTAAAAATACAAACATCACCGATTTTATATTTGGTGAAAACTTGGACACAAATATTAAGTCAGCAAAGGACTTAGAAAAGTCTGCTGAACAATTAAAACTTCAAAAGAAGGTTTTTCGTCCAGCTGCATCCGGAAAACCGGAAAACTCCCGCCGTCCATTCATGCAAAGGAGGGGCGTACATCAGAATGGACGCGGCTCTCGAGCCCCCAGATTACAGCGACGACAGGGACATCTTCCTGTAGTTCAATACAGAAAGGAGCACTTTCATTCGCAGGGGGAGAGAAAACCACGTCAAAAACGCTAGAGGTTAGTATGAGTGGAGGGAGATTAAGACACTTTGTGCAGTGCTGGAAGAACTTGTCCATTAATGAGAAATTAATTTCTCATATCAGGGGATTTCGTATACCCTTGATTAAAAAACCAGTACAAAATTATGTACCTTTAGAGCCTCGTCGATCTACATCAGAAATAAGTATTATTAGTTACTTGATAAAAAAATTACTAGAAAAACGTACAATTACTGTTGTGGAACCAAAAGACGGACAGTAATTTCCAACATATTTATTGTTCCAAAACCGGATAAATCATTTCGATTAATTTTAAATCTAAAGGCCTTTAATAAATATGTTGAGTCTCCCCATTTCAAATTGGAGGACTACAGAACTGTTGCTCGTCTTTTATCTCCAAACTGTTTTATGGGTACGATAGATTTAAAGGACGCTTATTATTTAATTCCTATTTGCGACGCCCATAAAAAGTATTTAAGATTTTGGTTCAACGGTATACTGTACGAATATAACTGTTTACCCTTCGGATTAACGTGTGCACCTTGGATTTTTACGAAAATTTTAAAACCTGTAGTAACAATCTGTAGAGAAAAGGGTTTTTTGTCAGTAGTTTATTTGGACGACATCCTATTACTAGGAGAAAGCAAGGAGGATTGTGTAAAATATAACAGAAACTGTAAAATTATTAGAATTTTTAGGTTTTATCATAAATTATGAAAAAAGCAAAATCGTCCCTGCACAGGAATGTAAGTTTTTGGGATTTCTGTATAATTCGAGAAGCTTAAGTATTTCATTGCCGGAGGATAAGCGTAGAAAACTACTTACAATGATTAAGGTCATATCTACCAAAGATTGTTGTACGATACGACTATTTTCAAAGTTTGTTGGAAGTTTGGTTTCGGCAATGCCGGCCGTGAAGTATGGGCTTTTATATTTAAAGTTATTTGAACGGCAGCGGTTCTTAGCTTTAAGGAGGTGCAGGGGCAATTATGACAAAGTAATGCACCTTTCATCAGAATTGTGTTTAGATTTTTGCTGGTGGGCAGATAAAATAAAACATGCGTCTAATTCAATACGATACGACTCATTTAATTTGGAATTGTTTACGGATGCCTCAACTACAGGCTGGGGAGCCTTTTGTGAGGAAGGCACGGCGTTTGGATTTTGGTCACGATGAGCAAAATTGCCACATTAATGAGTTGGAATTATTAGCACTTTTCTTTGGATTAAAATGTTTTGCCAAAAAGCTGTCAAATTGTAACATATTATGCAGAGTAGATAATACAACGGCAATCAGTACAATTAACCGAATGGGGAGTGTCCGTTTTAATCATTTAAATAAGATAGCCCGTTTGATTTGGAGTTGGTGCGAAGCGAGAGGGATTTACATTTTGGCTTCGTATATTAATTCAAAAGACAATTCAGAAGCCGATCAGGGTTCTCGGCAGGTACATAAAGAAACGGAATGGGTACTGGCAGATTTTGCCTATCGAGAGTTAGTGGGGCGATTTGGCACGACAGATACTGATTTATTTGCTAGTAGAATTAACAGAAAGTGTCTCAAATTTGTCTCTTGGGTAAGAGATCCCGATGCATTTAAGGTGGATGCTTTTACTATCGACTGGGCAGTTTTTAGTTTTTACGCGTTTCCACCTTTTACACTAGTTTTGAGGGTATTACAAAAGATAATTAAAGATAAGGCGGAAGGGGTAGTGGTAGTTCCGTTATGGACTTCACAGCCCTGGTATCCTATTTTTATTTCTCTATTAGTAGAACAACCAATAGTGTTTAAACCTAACAGAGCCTTACTTTCTTTTAGCAGAACGCCACATCCTCTCTCAAAGACTCTTTACCTAATGGCAGGCAAGTTATCAGGGAGGCGTTATTGCGAAGAGAGGTGCCGAACGAATCAATAGACATCTGTTTAGCGTCTATAACTAACTCTACTTTAAAACAATATAGTTCAGCATTAAAGTTATGGTGGAGCTTCTGCTCCCAACAGAACCTTGACCCATTTCGTCCTTCAGTGCCATCAGTGTTACAGTTTCTGACCCGCCAATTTTCCACTGGCGCCTCTTATGGTACCTTAAATTCGTGCAGATCTGCCATTGCACAATTAGTGGGTCCGGAGTTGGGAAGAGATTATAGAATTAAGAGGTTTTTTAAGGGAGTGTTTGGATTAAAACCACCTCTGCCAAGGTATGAAAATACGTGGAATCCGTAATCTGATGTACATCATACCGATTCCATATGCCTGATGTGTTTGAAATAAATTGCCTAAGTGTTCATCTTTTGAAAATACCTGAACCCATTTGAAACGCCAATTGCAATACAATGATTTTTCAAATTTTGGATAAACTTTCATCATTAACAATAGCGAGGTCACATTATGAAAACATTTTGAAGGCGCAATTGACTCAATTACGCTGGACGCAAGTGTCCATGATTCATGTTCCTATTTATTTATAATTGGCAAGTAAACTAAGAATGTAACAACGTGTTACTAATTTGAATACCAAAATGATTGTAAATATGTAGGTAGGGTAGAATTTCTTTTAAACTTATGCCCCGTAACAATCTCGTCATCGCCATTAAGGGTACAAGAAAATTTGTAAAACGATTTACAATGCTTAGTCTCGTGCCCGGTGCCCTAGCAATTTCATTTTTTATTTTAATAAGATCGGAAAGAATAATGAAAGGAAGGCCGACGTGTTCATTGTATGTATATTTTTTGTCGTCGTCCTTTCGAGAATCATAAATTGAACATTCAACAAGTTTGGCCATTCTGCCAGAAGTAATATTTCCGAAGAATAAATAACACGAGCCTAGGTACCTATAACAATCGAATGCGGCACATAAAAGAATAAATTCAAGGCTGCCGTAACAAAGATCGCAAAAAGTAAAAGTCCTGTATGTGTAATCAGAGTGATTAGGCCAGGTGTGTGCGCCCTAACGGGAACCCACGTGCCTGGCAGCTGTGAGGGTTGAACCCCTCGATAAAATGCACACATGCCGTGACGTATGTGCGCTTATGTGTCAACTATACACATTCATATTCCTCTCTCTATTGTCATCTTTATCCTCCATTACTTGATATGCAAATTATTATAGACCTAACATGGCTTGTATACCTACCTTCAGATTTATAGCAGTTTATTATAATAGTCTCGGTCTGGATTTCTTACCTTCGTCTTTTCTTCTTCGAGCTCTATGAATGAATGACGTCATTGGCACACGTACGTCTTCCTAGGGGGACCCGTTATAAGTGTAAGACCTGTTTAAGATTAAAATGGCAAGGGCAAGTAGTTTACAGGTGCTACTTATATCCATTTAAAAGGAAGTAGTAGTAGGTAGTAAAAGAAGGTGGGGTTCTTGAGAAAGAATTCCGCAACAGGTGCTCCCCGTGATTTCTTCAAATCAATATTTAGGTAGGTAAACGATTCTGGGTCTCCTTTTCATTACACAAGTATGTAGATTTATTGAAGTGCGAGTGTTTTTATTTCTTTTGGATGGTTGGGGAAGTACAACGTCCTTTAATCGTTTCGTATTATTTGTGGCTTCTTTAACTACCCGCATCATATGTCCGATTGCTAATTCAAACACTATCAGCATCGGTAAATTTTTACACATGCCCCATTAGAATCCATAACTGTCTGAAGCTTCCTGCAATTTTCACCCGTATTATTTCAGTTTAGAAAGACGGCAAAAATTACTTTTCCCTATACATATAACCCCAAACGTACGAATACCCGCACATTGTTAATGATCTTGAACTTGTAACTAGACAATAACCCCTTGCGCAGAGACAATGATCGACCACTCTGTTTTGTTCTTATTTATTGACGATTGTATTTTCTTTGCTTTGTGTACCTACTTGCCAAAGCTTGGTGGAGAGCATAAAAATAATTACCACTCAGAAATAACGTTCGTTAAAGGTCTCATGGGTAACTAAGCATAGACATCATTCCCACGATACTGAACATCGTGACCAAACTTATACTGTTTGGTGCCACTCTAGTCTTTAGAAGGGATATTTTGCGATTCCTTTTGTTTATTAGAACGCGTTTAAGAAAATACCTTTGTCTGTTAGAGGCTTTAGTATGAGTAGGTAAGTATTACCCATTCTCAATACATTCCCCAGTGCTGTTTCCCAAGAGTCTTAAGACTAGAATCGAAAAAAGAAAATATAGGTAAATGAAACATGGAAATAAACAGCGTCGTAATAGTTATTTGTATGTACAACTAGTTTTGAAAGTGATACTTTCAACACGTGTTGTACACGAAATTTTTTTGCATAGTGATCCATAAGAACCCACAATTGAATAATTTTATTGACATTCGCGATTTATTGTCACTCAAAAATGGATGCTATTGTTCATAGACAGGACTAAACTCCATGGAACCGCATAGTAAAAATCGTGAAAAAAAGTACCACTTTCCATGATTTTTCGTTAAAAAAAGTCCGATAATTTCATCACTATGTAAAAAATGTACTTCCAGGCGCATTTTCGCATCATAGTCGCAGGTCACTACCACAAATTAGAGTAACGAATTTCTGCATCAAAATGTGCTACACATACCTATCATGTTGGTAAATGGATAAAACAAGTACTACATTTTTGCATCATCCACCACCTATGGTAGTTTAGTTTCTTGAAAATAGATTAGCAGAGCTTAAGAGTATTTTAATGGAGCTGATAGAATATTGAATAGAACAGGTAATTAAGACGACATAGGGTGGGAGGGCTGTATTTGAGAGTATACGATAGCACAGATATACGTAAACATCTGTGACGATAGTATACGACGTATACTCAAAATTTATGAAAATTTCATCAAAAAAATTGTATTATACGAAGGCGTAGAAGGGCCACATGTAGTTTTTTCCTAAATTCTGAATTTCAAAATTTAACTAAATTGTGACTTTAAACTCGTAATTTAGTTCAATTCTATGTTGAAACTATAAGAGTTTAACTTATTTCTGAGTTTAAACGACAAAAACTGCTTGTGGCCTTTT